CTAAGCGCTTATAGTAATTGAAATTCGAGTCACGTGAGCATAATTGGCGGTTACGTTGCGTTATGTTTATTTCTCGCCGACACAATTAATAACGTAATGGCATAAAAATGCAGGCGTTGTGAGCGGGCCATTAATAAAACGATCGAAACTGGATCCTTGCGGTACTGCTCACTATCGGTTCTAATTAATTAGAATTTTTTGCCCTGATTAATTATATGTCATGACATTTTGAATTAGTCGCTTTTATTGTTTTATGTAAAGTGAATGCAATTTAGTTTCACCTTGTACGGAGTGATTTATTTTCGGGATAGTTGCGTGCGTAACATGCGTGACACTTCGTATTATTAAGATTGACAAAAAATGGTGGTTGTAATGTGGTCGAGTCATGTACGGTGGTTTGACGTTTGCTCTCGATACAGCTCGTTTTAAAATGGCATTTATAAGTCGTTAATTAATTGGCTTCAAAGTTAATCGTTAAGTAATCGCTGTCTCTTATAATTAATTATAACATTCAGTTTCCTTATTTTTCTCGTTGCGCTGCACTTAATTAAAACACACAGGTGTTTCCATATACAAACAGCGATTAAAATATGGCAGTAATTAATACCGGTCTACCTGGATCATAAATTTATCACGTAAACGAAAAGTCTAAAGGCATGTCAGGAATTGGAAAAAATCACAACTTACAACAATCAGTTTGATTGGAATTTAATTAATGGAATGTGTTTAGGTGCTGCTGTATAGCGACAGCCAAGTGATTTCTTTCCATTGTTATACCTGAAAAGGTCACTTGGACTTCAATTTATTGTCAAACGGGTGAACTGCATAAAGACAGAATGAATTATAGTGACGACTTTATACTGTATAATGAACAGAACGGAAAATTATTATATAAACTAAAAGTAATCGAAGCAAGGTGAAAATAATAAGGTTTGTTATTTTTCTACTTTTTTTATGTGTATAGTGTCTCCGTAAAATATTCAGGAATTGATATTCTTAATCCTGCTATATATGGCCGACTAGCTTAGAAGTTCATGCTCTATTTGCATTATTAAACCATCAATATGTTGGCATCTGCGTCCAAACTTAGCTAATAGTCCATAATGAGATGGGGCACCATCCTGTTGAAACCAAATTTGGTTGAAATTCCAGCCAACTTTCCAGTTAAACATAAAAGAAGCCTGGAATAATATATCACTTTGTCCCGGTTTCCCCCCTTATTATAACGAAATGACACACTAAAAATTTTAAGTCGTGTGTGTACGGTAAACCAAAAATAGCAAGACGTCCTATTTTCCGCATGTGACTATGAAAACAGCCTTTTATGTTTCCTTCCGCACACTCATAAACTGTGTGGTGGTATAAGAAATTTCAACATTAAACGCTAACTGTGTAATTAAACTGTATGAGAATTGCTTCTACGACATGCAATTAAAGTGCAATAATAATTATCTATAACAGTAAGTTCCTGCTGTAATAATAGTCCATTGTTTTTAAATAATAATTGAAATTTATACGTAAATTGTTATCTACGTAAAAATGCTAAAATGCACTAGATATGCACACGAGGCTATATTTTCAAGATTACGTTAATACAAACGTGCATTTTTAAAAAGTTTAACACATTCGGTGGCTATTTTTAAAATTTTTTGTCAAGTGTAATTTATGTCTGAGGCACCAAGTTTTAACAGTAAACGTGAAATTGTCGAATTTTTACTACGTAGTTAAAGAATGATATATTTCGGTATTAAAGTAGAAATGGGTATTATTTGCCTAATCGTTCTGGTTTTTTTTATGTCAAAAATTATGGTGGCTTATTTGGCAAGGAACATAATTTTCACCTCTGACATCAGTTAATTGAAACTTCAAAATTCTTCTCTTGTACCTATAGTTTTTGTTTTCACTTAAAAAATCCTCGTTCATTAGTGAAAAGCACGTGGAATTACAATGTCAATTATTTATTGTAACTAAGTTTAAAGTACATGTTTATTTTTTTTTATTTCTTTGTTGTTGTTAATGATATGTTTCAACAAGTTGTTCTTTTATAAATACGTCAAAGAACAATTATTATTTAAATTAGTCATACAAGTACATAAACATTTTAATGGTTCAACTTTTCCAAAAAAACAGTCATTATAGATAATTTAATTTACAAAGGTCCAAGTTCTTTTTTGAATTCATGATCATAATAAACGTGTTGCGAAAAAATTTTTGACTAAATAATATTTGGAACAAAGCAGAGTTACCAAAATTTGTACAAATCCTATTCGGTTACAATTTCGCTCCAATTTGTGTAATTTTTGAAAATCGCCTCCAGAAGCCTCTTCCTGTGCTCGCACCGTTCCGGGGTCGATGAGCTTTCAATTAACCGGAGGGCTCCGTGTAATCTCCGGATTTTATGCATCGTTCTTCCGACGGAGGAGCAATTCCAGCTCTCAGTTCTTCGGCTAATCGCCGGCGGCGGCGTAAATTACTTAGTCATAAGAGCAGATAACATCATTAAACAAATGAAAATTTTAAATACCTCGCACACTTTATCGTCGGTACTTAGACAGTGTGAACGCACCATAAGACGTGATCGTCGCACGATAAACGACCATTATATGCAATTAGTTATTTCACTATTAAATTATTTGCATTTTATACCATCTTAATCCTTATTAATCGCGCGGAATTCCAAACAACCGGCTATTTATTATAATCGAAGAGAGTGCGCCTAATTTACGACGGATTAGCGCTGGTTTTTTTTCTTCGTGGTCTTGTATGGTTCGAGCCGCTGTCGTTAGTCATTTTTGAGATTTGTGTCTTATTGAAACACTTGTCGACATGGTTTTTGCATTGTAGGGTATTTGAGCGAATGTTAAGGCGTCGCCACACCGACCGGGAGGTGTGACTCAATTATCCGGCGGAATTGGCCGATAAATCAGGGTTCTGCGAAATTGGAAGCTGTCGGAGATAACCTACAATTAGGGCGATCTACCTGTCTTTTTTAAGCGGTGCTGAAGAGGGTATAATCTTAAACGTTAACAAGAAACTAATCTGTATCTGTCTTTGTGTAATAGTTAGAAAAGAATAAGACGAACTTGTTGGGGGTCACTGGTCAGATGAATATTCGCAGATCGAGGCTAAGTCAACCAGATCTGTTAGTTTTGTTAACTACCGCTGATGATGGACGACCACGACCACGGTTTTTATGCAGATTTCGAGTTTTTTCTTACAACATTTATTTACAACCACGTTTATGGGCCAAGTTCACATTAAGAACAGTGGTTCTTAAAAGTTTCACCCTGTTCTGGTTTTTTTTTGATGTCTACACCACAAAATTCCCTTTAAAAGTCAACATTTCGTATCTCAGTTAGGTACACTGTAGATTAAAATTGTGACTATGATTCAAACAAAAAAATCGACACACACGACCCATATGGAAACGGGAGACCTATTTTTTCATATTTTAGGCTCATGAAACGTTCGGAAAACATATTACAATACTTTCTTAGCTTAAAACGCCCAATTTCAAACTTCAGCGAATCAGTGTTGAGTATTTTCTTTAGAGGGAAGTCAGCAGTATTAAATAAAATGTTCGTATTTTTATTAATTTTTCAAGAGAGATGGTAATAGTCAATGTCAACTAGTCAGTGATGTACAGTTGAGCATTTGGGTCTTATCAAAAATTTGTACAGAAATTGTTACTATTGTGATTTATTTAAATTAAAGCAGTTAAATATCGTTTATCTGCATGAACATGTGCATAAGTAAGTAAATATTTTCTAATTAAATATTTATGCGGTTTTTCCCCAGATTCCTATAAAAACACTTACATATAACGCATATTGTTAATTATGTATTTATATTTCCTAGCTTTTTGTTGAATACGAATGTATGCCTAATCCGGTAATAATAATAATAATAATCTGAACTTTACATGTAATATTTTTAATGTTGTTTTTTTTTTTATAGTCTGTATTGAAATATAAACTGCGCGTCAAAATTTAGGGATATTTTAATTAATTCAGTCTAAGCCTACTCGATTACTATACGAAAATAATAAAAAATATGACTTTAAACGATATCCCTAATTTTTGATGCGCATTTTATTTAGGTGATGTATTGTTGCTTAAGCAAAATATTATTTCCAAATATGGCCCTTATTTCCATCAAGCCTATGATCTACATTTTGATGATTTCTGTAATCCCAATATTTGGCCAATCCGACGGGGGCTAGCAACTTTCGGTTCGGATTAAATATACCTACGTTGCATTTTTTACATATTTAAATTTAATCAAATGAATACAAGGGATTGAGAAAAATTTCTAGACATCTCCAAAACACAACAATTGTGCAACTTAAAAAAACAATATGTAAAGTCAACGCACAATGAAAAAACCACTTGGCAGCTGACCATTCTGTCAGTGGATATTTTGACATACCAAATCACGTTGAAGTTGATAACCCAAACTGTTGACGAGGAAATACTCCTTACCCGTAGAGTTTTAAAATTCATATGTCAACTTTGATGACTATTAACAGGCTGACAACCTAATGAAGGTGAAACTACTGATATTCCATTACCAACATATTTGTTCCTGGTTTTTTCATTGTGCGTTGACTATACCTATTAGGTAAATCTATACTCTAGAACGGACAAAAAAATAAATTAAAGAGGAAAAACATTTCTTAAGTACGTTACCATTTTCATGGCAAGCAATCTGAAGATCAGTTTGAGATTTTTGAAAAACATAAAAGATCCCAACTGCAGTTATTTATCATCAGTAAGGAAAAATACAATCGGTAAAAGACCTTCACCACCATAACCAAAATTTCTCCATTTGTGAAAATTTTTGGACACTTGGTATAGTAGTAGTGGAACACGAGGTCCTCAACTTAAATTATCTACTTCAACAACTTCTAGAAGCCTATTTCTACTAGTTCGAACATGACCAAAACAAAAACATTCTTCTAGTGTCATCGGTTCTACTGTCTAGCCTTTTCCCGCTTTTACCTGAATTCAAACTGGGCACTCCAAACGGCGTGGGCCCTTGGAACATGGGCCCCGGGCCGGCGAACGGGTTGACCAGCCCTTGGTGCGACCAATTCGGATGCGCCGCTTGATACACCGCCGCCGCAAGGGCCGAGAACGGCGTGGGCCTGATGGGCCCTTGACTCAACACCGCCTCCTTAGCAAAGTCCCGTTCCCTCTGCTGAAGCAGATCTTCTTTCGACCCTTCTTCCTTGCTATCTGAATTGAGATCCTCGACATCCACTATCGAGTCCTCCTGGTTGGAATCGTACTCTTCGTCCGACGAATGATTCTGCGGAGGGGGCGTCGAGTTATTCGTCGAACTGGGCCTCGTGTCGGCCAGCAAGGACGCAACACTGAAACTAATGTGTCCATTTTTGCTCGTCAGCTGCTGATTCTTGTCATTCTGCATGGTGTCACTCTTAGTGTCCAAACTGTCCAAACTTTGGATAGTCATACTTTGGGCACTTTCCGACTGCTTCAGCATGAATGTCATTTACACTACACTACACGTCATCGTACACTGCTAAAACCGACTGTTACATGTAACTGCCCAAGCTGAACTGACCAAGCGAGCGTCATTAACGCAGTTGGCTGCGGAAGGCGGGGCTTAAGGGGGCGGGGCGTGCGGGCCCGCCTCTGAGCACCTCGCGCGCTCTCCGCCAATCGCGCGCGGGGCAATTTAACTAAAACGCAGCGGACCTGTCCGGGATTGGGCGGCGCGCGGTGTGGAGGTGTAGACGGGTCGAAAACGCGGCTGAGCCGCTGTACTCACCTTTATTTCCTTTTCCACACTTTTGTTATTACTATAACTGCAGCTTTAAGAGCTTGCACTTGTTTATGGTCGTTTTAAAGCGGCCTTTCAAATTGTTATAACTTAATTACGACGGCGAAAGATGCTCTTAGTTATTTCGTGTTATTGGCAGCGTTAATTTTTTACGACTGCTCTGGCTGTCGCTTTTTCTTTCGTTAAGTTAATAACGTTATTAAATGTAATTGCGATTTCTTCGATCGTTATTGACAGGATAATGGGCTTGTGAAATGTGGATGATTATTTAATTGTGGGTTTGTAGGCGGGATGGGGGTGAAAGGAGAGGGCGGCACGGGTGGGACAGAGAAGGACTGCTTGTATAGTAATCGGTGCAATTTATCCGTCGGGAGTACTTCCTTTGTTAGCTTATTTTATGTTTGTACAAAACAATAATCTTCCATTGCAGAGTGACCTCGCCATTTAGCACTCCTCATTAGACCTTATAAAATTTAATATCGCAATCACGAACGTTCGCTTTAATTTTTCCATTATCTTGGCGAATTTCTCATTGGTTGTTCAAGAGTAATTGGAATTTCGATTTTACGCGGCGTTTTCTTAATTAAGTCTGGAGAGATGGCGATAACATTTGAACTTTTTTGACGCTGATGGGCTTTGGAGGGCGTTTTGTTTACCATATTGAGGGATAATTTCAAAAAGAGGTTACACAAAAAATTAATTTTAATTTTGTTATTTTGGATTTTAAATTTTGTACAATAGGGTGCAAAAAATGCGTTATAAAACGACGTAGTAGCGGTGTTTAAACCGCGTTTATGCGGAAAATTTAATTAAATCGAAACCCATTTAAGTATTAATTAATATTTTAATTAATATGTTAATAAATTGGTTTTAGAGAACTTTGTAAATTATAAACCGTTTCGATAATATAAATTCAATTAATTTAAAATAAACATGTTTGTTTAAATTATAATTCATATTTTATTTTATTAAGACCCACCACTGACCCGGAAATGACCGGCATTCAGGCAAGACTTCTATCATTACGGGTACTAAGACCAAGTAATGATATGCATTGATTAGATTAACAGAACAACTTTCGAGATTCTAGAATTACAGCATACAAATTAGTCTGCTATTATTCTCTAATCTCACCCCATCCCCAAAAGTCTAGCCTAACTACCGACCATTTATCCGCGCATCACATGAAAAGTGACCTACACTACTCTGACCTACTGGTGCTAATCTAATCTGACTGACATGATCAGACTGTTCAAGAAACTTACGAACAATATGACATGTTCCTAACAAAACAGCTTTTTGAATTTTGACAATTATTGAATCATTCAAATGCAAAGACTTTAAATTCTCAACTAAGCTATTTGGAACTACACCTACATTAGAGATAACTAGGGGTAGAATTGAAATTTTTTTAAGATTCAACATGGATTTCATTTCTATCGATAATTGTAGATATTTTGAAATCTTGGTGTCGTATGTTTGAATAATGTTGTTTGTGTTAGGAATAGCAATGTCAATGAGAATGGCTTCGTTTGTGTGTTTTTTGATAAGTATGATGTCTGGTCTGTTAGCTGTAATGTTTAAGTCTGTAAGTATTGTACGATCCCAGTATAATTTGTATTTGTTATTTTCAAGGAACGGAGATGGAATGTAAGTGTAATAGGGTGTCGTATCTTCGATTAAATTCATAAGTGTTGCTAATTCTTTGTGAATGATTTTGGCTGCGTTGTCGTGTCTAGCTTTGTAATCAGTTTGTGCTAGGATGCTGCAAGAAGAGATTATGTGCTGGATCGTTTCAGGTTTTGCTTTGCAGAGGCGACAGCAGTCGTTTTTTATGTTCGGATCTTTGATGATGTATTTTCTATAATTCTTGGTATTGATTACTTGGTCTTGAATAGCAAACACAAATCCTTCTGTTTCGGCATACAAACTTGATTTTTTTAACCAAATCAATGACATCTTCTTATTGACATGATTTTCTTCTAAGTCTTTGTAGAATTTTCCATGTAGTTGTTTTTGTTTTAGCACACTTATTATTTTATCTATTGTGTGGGGGGTGTGGATTTCTTCGGTGTTCGACAGATTTAAGGGTGTGTGGTTCAAATCTGCTCTTGTGATGGTGCGAAACATTTCATTTCTTTCCGCTCGTTTCAAGAAATACTTCTTCAAATCTGAGATTTGTCTCTGATATAAGTTTTCTAAGTTCTGGAAACCCCTTCCTCCATTCTGTCTTGGTAATGAGAATCTTTCAATCGACGATTTTGGGTGATGCCTTCTATACTGTGTGAAGATTTTCCTTGTTGCGATGTTTAAATTTTCAAGATCAGTTTTGGACCATTTAATGACTCCAAAAGAATATGTTAGCAGTGGAACGCAGAATGTATTTACTGCTTTCATTAAATTTTTTCCATTTAACTGTGTCTTCAATATTAATTTTAATCTCGCTACGTATTGATCTTTCAACTGTGTTTTCGTTTTGGTATGATTGATGTGGGAGGATTGACAGAAACCCAGATATTTGTATGTATCGTTTCGTTCTTGGGCTTCAATTATTTCCTTATTCTGTGTTATATGTGGTACTTGGTGAAACACGCCTTTTCTGATTGCTTGGGTCTTACATTTCTCAATACCAAAGGACATACCAATATCACCGGAAAATTGTTCAGTCAGATTTAATAGGTTTGTTAACTGATTTTGTGTACTTGCATATATTTTTATGTCATCCATATACAGCAAGTGACTTATTCTGTTTTCTCTTTGTTTGTTAATTCTTATATTGAACCCATAATTGCAGCTGTTCAGGATATCGGAGAGAGGATTTATTGCTAAGCAGAACCATAACGGGCTAAGAGAATCGCCTTGAAAAATTCCTCTTCGGATCATTATTGGGTCTGACTGAATTGTTTGTTCATTTAAGGTTATTTGGAGGGTGGTCTTCCAAAATTCCATGGAACATTTGAGAAAAGTGCAGATTTTAGTATCAATCTTGTATAATTCCAGAATTTTGCATAGCCAGGAATGAGGGACAGAATCGTAAGCTTTCTTATAATCAATAAAAGCAGTATATATGTTTCGGTTTTCTTTTCTAGCTTGTTCACAGATGATGGAATCTATGATTAATTGCTCTTTGCAGCCAAAGGATCCTTTAATACATCCTTTCTGTTCTTCATTAATGATGTCAGAGTTAAAACAGTGTTGATATATTTTTTTATTCTTATCGATGTTTTGAATGTTGTAATTTTTATTATATATTTTCCATGACCACGAAAGGGTTTTTGAATAAAACAAATGACTTGTGAAATTTGGTTTTTTCTAAAATTCAGAGGTGAATCATGTGACTCAGTTATTCCGAAAAAGACACATCTCCAAAAAAAATCTAATCACCTTTCAAGAACAAAAATTCTAAATATTATAAATATTTTTGTTGCTTTCAAATTATTTGCATTCTATTCTATTTTTCGTTTTTGTTTCATTAAAATACGACCTTACGAAAAATTTTTTAAACACTTGAAGTTATATAAATATTTAAGTTGGCGACTTAAATTTGCTGGGGAAAACAACTTTTTTTATGATTCTTGAAAGTGATTTGTAAATTTACACCCAATTTTGTGCTTAAAAGCCTTTATCACTCCTGTATTAATATAAAAGATGTCATTTTATCAAAAAATAGCCGCTGAACCAGAGAAATGTCAACATAAGGAAATGAACGAGGTATACCACAAAAATACAGTATACCTGATCTGACCTACAACTAATTAAAAATATGAAAAAAATCTGAATCTGGTTCGTCTGATTCTGTTAAGCTCTCTCTGTGTTAACATAGTTAATTGGGAGCCTGTTAAATAAAAATAAGAGGATGTTTGTGAAAATATTTTTTTGATCTTGATGAAGATCTAAAAAATTTGTAACAGGTGTTCAATAAATTTTCTCGTTTGTAGTTGGCGATGCGCCAGTGTTATAATTCAAAATAACAATTTTTGATATTAATTTCGGGTGATTTTTTATATTTCTGCTCTAGTTGGCCATGACGCTTAAGTCAGTCGTTTTCATTGAACTGCTGACGTACGAGTCATGATCAACTTGAGCAGAAATTTAAATAATCACATGGTATGATATGTAGTAAAAAAAATTGGTCGAAAATTATTTCGACAGAATTTCCCTCGCCCTTGAAGTAGGAATTATGTCCATTTATAGCAACGGGGAAAATGTAGATAATCTCAATTTCTCAGTTCATGCTTAAATGAGAGTGTTATGTTTATACTTCAAAAGCAGTCGACTATTAGCAGCTTCTGATTAGAAACATGAACAGTTAAAGAAAATGAAATTTTACTGATTTTGTCTTCTCAAAACAATTAAATACACTCAGTTTTTTCCCAAAAACACTAATAAATTTGAACAGTTATTCGGCACAATTATAAGATGACGCTCAAATTTTGATTAATAATTTACCGTGTTTCCAATAACCTTAAAATATTTGCCAAATTTCGAAGCACTCGGTTTTGACAATTTCAAAATTAAATCGTAAGAACATTTTTTTGGCAAAATTTCGAAATGACGTCTTCACTTTTTGGGGGGTGGAATATAAACGAAAAAAAATTGATCAACGATTTACCATGCATAAGATAACTCTAAAACTTTTGCAAGATTTCAGAGGATTCGATTTAGCAGTTTCAAATTTAAATTTCAAATTTTTGTTATCATTTTTGTTTTTTTTTCTAAAAATCTGGATGTATAGGTTATAAACTCAACACGGATTCATA